CCTCGTGTGTGTGTGTGTGTGTGTGTGTGTGTGTGTGTGTGTGTGTGTGTGTGTGTGTGTTGGCTGTATACCAAACTATGCCTCCGACATCTCAACCACCCTGTTCCCGTGCTTTTCCAACCCACGCTGTCATCATATCCCTGGTTAAGATTCTTATATAACGCCCACGTCATCTCGAGGTCGTGACACGACCTTTGTAATTCTGCCGAAGATGAATATAAAGGCTATCGAGAGAAAGAGAGAAGATATATTTTTTCGCACTTGTCGCGAGTGACCAAAAGCGCATGTTGGAAATTCGAATGGGGATTATGCTATTTATATTCGTTTTTCTTCTCCCGTTTTATAACAATATAACAAATACATAAATATTTAAAAATATATCTGGAAGGGGTTTTAAATATTTTTATTCTGTCCAAAGTTTTTTAGTAATAAACAGTAAATATTAAATAATCTTGGAAATTAATTTTAGTTCGGTCTTTACAATGTTTGCTCTAATGACATGCAGATTCATATAATTTTTATTATATTTTTAAAAATAATTTACATTAAATGCGTCTCTTAAATATTATTCTAATATTAAAATTTTTTCTTTATTTTGTCCAAATTTTGTCCAAATTTTAAATTACTCATAATGAAACGATGTACTAAATTTTATTAACAAAATAAATATTTTTTTATTTATTCAACTATAGTTTACCAAATTCATAAGAGAGAATCACAAAAAAAAAACAGATGCTGTAAACTCGCTTTTACAAACGTGAGAAACAAGCGAAATGTTACAAATAACAAATCCTGTTGTGCGTAAAAATACAGAAAGTCGATCCAGTAATTTTTTTATCATCACTTTCACACAAAGAGCGACCAAAATTGAGAATGTTATATGCTATTATCGAATTAACAATAAAATAAAATAAAAACAATAAAATAAGAATTTGAAAATACGAAACATACAATATGCTTTTTGTTTTGTATTTTCAAATTCTTGTTTTATTGTTAATTTGAATCGATCCAATCGATCCATTAATTGTGCAAAACAATCATCCGGTTTTTTGGCGTCTTGCGTCGTCGTCCGGATCCTTGCGCGTGTGTTGACATGGATATAAGGGATCTACACAGTTTTACGTCGATTATCTAGATGTGATTTTGCTAGGCCTCCGTAGAGGAGAGCCGTCGCCTTATAAATATTATTGGGATCGAGATTCGAATCCAGGACTGATTTGCTTCGCACTAACTCGCAGAGCCACAACACGCTCCTGTTTTAGATTAGAAAATAATTTATTAAATAGAGAAAAGAAAATAGATAAGAATTATTTATTAAACAGACATGATAAAAAAACATAATATTACACATTACAGAAAAAAATATAATATTAAATTTTACAGAAAATTATGATATAAATTTCATATCAAATAATAGATATAGAAAATCTTACAAAAAGTATTAAAATAATATTATATCAAATCTTCTCAATAAAGATGTTCAGTTGCAATATGCAGTGCTTGCGGACGTGAAATTGATGGACAGAAAAAAGAGGAGTTTTTGTAATACTTTTGAATGCATAAAAGATATTTTTTATTTTCGATTGAATTTGTACGTGTAAAAAAAAATAGTAATACATCTTATTGCAGATGTTCTAGTCAAAAACTTTTTGTGAATGAAAAAGAAATTATATCTGAAATAAGTCGCTGATTCACGTCGTCGTGTCGTCGTGCCGTGATCGATTAATGACAGTCAGCTTGCCAAGGTGTCGCCTACGTCGGCCCGACAGTCAGCATCGGGCAAAAGTCGATAAACCTTACCTGCGTAGTTTTTCTTATATATTTTTTTACTTGGGTACAATCTTTCAGTTTTTTTTTTTTAAATTGATACTTTTTCTAAAAAGAATCAAGTCAGATAAGTTTTCGAATTGTTAAATTCTCGATTTTTAGTTCTTAGTTTGTTTAATGAGGAGATACAAATGAATTTCTATATGATGTATAAGATCGAACAAAAGTAAAACAAGATTTTCATGTTCCTGCTTATCTCCTTGTAAAGTAATTTCCAAAGCTTTCGCAGACACGTCACGCAAGTTCTCATCCACTTAGAGTTCGTTATTCTATTTAATCTGCGGTTGCCGGTAATAACAGGGTTGTCTGTCAAATCCGCGTGGTTAATGGTGCGGGGGATTTATCTAGATGTTACGAAATCCTTAGAGCCGATAGCTCGAAATTGGCTTGGTCACGTCGGATTGTATTTCAATTGAAGTGCGCTTAATCGCCGAATGTAGCGAAATACACGGCACATGAAACACATTGAAATAGTTCTGTCAGCATAGGCAGACTTAGAAGGGAATAATAATGCGCTCTGAATCTAAATAATAGTAAATTAATTAACTAAAGTTTATATCTTCTGCATTTATTTTATCGAAACTTTTCTCGCTCTCGAAAAATAATACCAGAAAATAACACATTTCTTAAAATAATATAAAATAGTACACGATAATATAAAATAGTACCGTTAAACATGGTATTTGAAATAATCTAATGGTAATTGAAAGTGCTCGTAAAAATGTCTAAAATGTCGTCGTGGTTTTTGCGTGTTTCCTAAATTATAACTTTCTATTGTAAAAAGTAGAAATGCCGACGATCAGGTAAACAAGTCATAGAGCTGAATTACGAGCACTCGCGTGCGCGTTAGACTCGCTAACAACGTGACATTGTTGTGTCCCAACAATCGGCGCAATTGCCGCCTCATATTTACGGCGTGCGAGTGGGCGTTAATTATTTTCCTAGACTCGGCGTTCGCAGCCTCGCCGTCGCACTCGCGAATACGTACAAATCCTGCGCCGTGCGGGAGAGACGTTTGGGGAAGCTTGGTGCGCGCGAGTAACGTCGCTGCAAAACGTAAACTGCGTTTCTCCCCCCCGTTTCATGCGACACGTGTACAACCCGGCCCTCGGGTCGGGTCGTTCTCCCGGCCCGATGACGTAAATCCTCCTGTCCACGGGGACACGAAAGATATTCCGTGGAAATTGCGACGTTGTATCGCCTCTCGCTCTCTCGCTCTCTGTGCGTACTCCGTTCTTAGCGACCACGACCCTTTTTGTTGCAGCACGTGGATTTGGCATGAGGGTGGTAGGCGGCAAGACCGGGTCGGACGGGCGCACCTTCGCGTGCATCGTATGGACCGTGCCGGGTGGCCCCGCCGAGAAAGCTGGCTTGCAACAAGGCGACAAGGTACGTTTAATGCATTATCCACATCCAAAGTACATTTTCCAGGGATTATGACGAGCAAGATTATCATTTCACATGTAAATTTTTAACGACTAATCTTGAAAGCTGCTTCGGTTTAGCAGATCCGGTGTCTGGATCTCTTTAACTTTCTTTCCGTTCCTCAAGTTTCACAGAAACGCTTTTGCACATTATTAATCTCACTTTGTCGCTTGTTCGAACGTTTTTCGAGCAGTTATTTATTCTCGGATTTTAGTTTCAAAACGCTAGATATTTAAAATTATGCATCGTATTTATTTCGAGGATTATTGAACATATTTATAATTAAGAACTTGATACCACATTGTTTTCTTATTTAATAAAAAATATCTAGGAAGATGTGAAATTATAAAAGATTTAGGTTAATTTCTGTTATTATATCTTAAGTTAGGTACTTAGCACGAGAGTTTATAATTATCTACTTTTATCATTTTTACAAAGAAAGCCAAACGAAAGCCACAGTTACTCTGTTATTGACACTTCGATCGATCGGATATCTGTCGCTGCGGAGAAGACGAGATTACAGTATTAACTTTGCTGCCCCGTTTAAAAATATTGTGATTAAACTGTTTTTTAAATATAGTAACTCTGTACATCGCTTCTCTAACACTTCATGTCATTTTATGAGTTTTTTATATACAGAAATATATTTACGAAATAAAAATCGTTTGGTCAATCCTGCAAAATAATACTCTTAAACAATACAGCCATAACGTAAACACCGTACCAAAAAATATAGGAAACTAACTGTATGGAGAAGAAAATATTTTCCTACTAAATGTTTATCGTTGCCCATCGGTAAACGATAAACGTATGTATTTACATCGACATCCTCGATGCATCAATTTTAATTAAATTTAAAGCCGAAGTACTGACAGCCAAACGAAAAGAGCTGTTCTCGCGTATATTCACTATCATCCAAATTGATGAATTTTATTTAACGAAATGTGCATCCTGCAAGCCCATTATGCACATTATTAATTCGCAATTAATTTTGCTATAAACGTAACTCATACAACATTCCAAGCGTTTTTTTTTTGTATTAACAATCATACTCACCATTTTAAACAATGCGAAACATTTTTAGGCAATAAATAATTTAAGTATTGTGACTTGATAGCCAGACGTTTAAACTTCAGATCGTGCAAAAAGGCGGGAAATGCAGCCCTTTATCTGCCCTTCGAGTGTCATCGTGCACAAAGGCCCAGCATAGGCGCGCGAATGATTGATCGATCAGCTCGGCGAAAAGACGGTTCTCTCCATTCCTGTTCGCCATCATTATATTTTCATAAAGAGTCCCAGACAACGATCGCTTATCGTCGATAAGCTTCCCAACAATAGTTCTAATAAGGAACGTGCAGATATCGCACAATGGCCCGCATTCTCGTTACCATATTATTCTTAAAGCGTAAGAGATTCACTCATCCTTCTTTCCTCTCCCGGTGAGTGAATATAAGTTGAATAAGAAATTAAGAAAGCGGTGACCTCTCTTTCTCTCTCTTTCTTTCTTCTTATCCGGCACGGAAAATGAAAAACACGAACATTCTGACAAGCGTGACGTATTTGTTACTCTAATAGAACGAAAATCCGCGATACGACGCCTTCGTACGCTCCACGAGGAACGAGTAATGCTTTGTTTAATCCGCTTACGTCCCACCGCTTGTAAAATCGGAACAGGCAAACTCTCTCAACGAGATGCATTCGGACGACGACCAATTCGCTCCTGTCGAGCTCTGGAATAGACAAGCGTAATACTAGAATCGTACATAATTTCCGCGATTATGGCCCGTCTATTTCCATTGTTACGTCCCGACCATATATGTTGATCAAGTTTCTTCATTTAGGATGACAATGCTCATAATAATTTTGTTAATATCCCGAGTTTATTCGTTAAACGTTTGATTATTGTCATTATCACGTTTGCGATGTTACAATTAAATCGGTAATTAATTCGTGCAATGACAAGAAAGTATCTATATTCTGTATAAATAATATGTTTAAAATACATCTATACTTTTTTTATTTTGCCAGTTTTATTAAAAAAAAAAGAAAGAAAGAAAGAAAATATGAAACAACGTGTATTTAAAGCACTCAATTTGTGCAAATAAATATGTAATACGCTGAATAAAAGCATGATTTATGCATCAAGCGATTTTTATGCAAGCATTTACTATATAATATAATCCTCGAAAACAGAACCGCGAACCTTCGTAAAAACTGAATCTTCTCTCGCTCGATGTACGATATAATCAGCTCGAGATCTAGATCAATTTTGCTCCCGAGTATCTATTTGTCGTCACGTGTGCAAACCTATATGTGTCTAGCAGCACTTTTACGACAAGAAAACGGATAAGACACTGATTTGATGAGAAAAAAAAATACTCAATTTACTAAAGAGAAAAAGAGCTGAAAAACACGTGAAAGAGAGACGGTCATTTTTATCCACCTTGCAAGAGTTTTATCGAACGATTCCGGCTCTAGGGAATAGAATTCCGTGAAATTTAAGAAGGTCAAGGTGTTCCGTTCCCGACACACATGTATACGTATATACCTATAAGAGCGTCATGGTTTTACAGCAAACTTATCTTTTCCCCTCGATGCCACGATCTCGTTAAATCCCAAGGATAATTAAACTTCTGCCTGCCATGCGAGACCCCTCGAGAAGATCAATCGAGATCGATCGAGTTTCGATACGAACGAATTCCAGATAAGTTTATCGCCAGCAAGATTATATATTACTTCCTTTTTGAATTTCTTCAAGAGTCTCAACAACACGAAAGTGCGGCGAAAATGTTTCGATTTCGTAGGTAGAAAGATGAAAAAATAAAATTGATGAATAAAATTTAATACTAAATTTTTTTAAGTGTTATTCCTATTATTTTTGGATATTAATAATTGATTATTGATAATCGATCTTTTTATATAATTTTTTTTTTATTTAAAATATGTTCTATATAGCTGTTTTCGTATTGTTTCGTAATGTTTAATTATTAAATAAACTTTAAACATATTATACAGTAAATCAATTTGGATTTTGTAAAATTTTATGTAATTTATTATAATTAAAAAAATTAATATTGTTTATATCACGCATTTATAATATAAACGTAAATACACACAGAGATTGCATATAATGTTTTGAATACATGAATACATGAAACTATTTCACTGCCTTTGGTATTCTAGTTAGACACATAGACACATTAAATAACGGTTGAATAAAAAAAAAGAAGAAAAACAAAAAGAAATGGAGATAAAAAAGCTCTCGTCAGAGAGGTGAAGTAATTAGAAGCCCCGCGAGAGCAAAGTTCCTGCTAAATCGGACCTAGAAATGGAAACAAGAACGTAATTAAATATTGATCTTTCATTTTGTGATCGCAAGCGTACAAAAAAATCGTAAATGGTTTTACATCTCACACGTCGAATTTAAAACGAATGTTGGTCTTTCATCAATTGTTTGCAATAAAAGAATCAAGTTGAAGTTAAAAAATTTGTCATAAAGTTTGATGGAACAAAAATAGAATCTAGAGTTAAGCTATTATCAATGACTTGAAATTCTCGCACTGAATTAACTGTTTATATATATTATTTCCCGAAGACGAAAAATCAAGTTGAAATTGGAATTTGAAATTTTTCTTTTCTTCCATTCTCACGTTTTGCAATATTGACAAAAGATCTCCTTGACTTACGCCATGTTGCTTCATGTATCTGTCGGTAGATTACGACGACACATTGCATACGTATATATACTCGCGGTTAATGAACGATCGCCCACGCAGTAATTAATAACAATAAAGTTTGACATCGAGTCGATCGAACAGCAAATCCAACCCCCAGCATCCTGTGTTCCGACAATATTTGCCTCTGACGTCATATGTACGTCGTCGTCGCGCGGCTTACGTCGGAAATGAAATTTAACGTCAACGAGAATACAATATACTGTTAACCGGCGATGTGATCCAATAAATGGTATACGGGGAGTTTTTAGTACTAGCCAATACTTTTAAAATAGTTTTGCGTGACACGCGTATATTTTTACTCGTAAATTATTCCCCGGGTATCAAACAACGCGAAGAGTGAAAAAAATGTAAAAAAGTGTAACTTTTAATGTGTGAATGAATAGATTATATGATATTGTGTCAAATTCTGTTTCAATGATAAATAAAATATCTTTGAATATGTCACACACGCACGCACGCACGCACGCACGCACGCAATTTTAATACGTAAATAAAATTTTGTACATATGTATATATAATTAAGTTAATATATAGTATATAGTGTGTGTGTGTGTGTGTGTGTGTGTGTGTGTGTGTGTGTGTGTGTGTGTGTGTGTACATAAATTGAGAAATTAAATTTAACAATAACTTGAATTAAATTGGAAATGTGAATTGAACGTTTATCTTGGAAGATTGAGATTGGAAAACAGATTTCAATATCAGTAGGATTAAAATAACTTACAGTAATATAAAATGGAATAATGCAATATGATTTTCGTATCATGCGCTTGATTTCATATTATCATCGATCAAATTGATCACGAATCGAACAAATGGCATTAATTTAAAAAAATGTATATTAATTTTGTTTTAATTTGATGATGATAAAGTTTGAAAAATCAATTTTATCATACTGGAAAAAGCGAATTTCAGCATAAGATAAAATTGCCACAATGATTTACCAATATATGAAAAATGTTCTTATAAATATGTTTATAATAAATATGTTTATACGCATTAAAAATTGAAAAATTCGTTGCTAAAAGCTAAACCAATTCCACAAAAAAACTTAATTTTTAATAACATCAAGATAAATAAAGCATCATTCCCACTCTCTTCGTTTCTCCGTTTATTATTCCCAATGAATATTTATTAAACAAATATTTTACGATATTTAAAACATTTACATGATATCAATACATCAATAATTGTACATGAATATGAATGAAAATGTGAAGTAATTTAACAATGGATAATGCAAAGAAACACAGTCAACCGCCGCAAAGGTAAAATATAAAAATTAAAATTGTTTTGCACAGCGTATGCAATGCCTCTACTGCAAATTGATATAGTGAATGAGAGTAAAGAAAAAATATTGTGAATGAATATTTTGCTGCATACGTTTCATAAATACACGCCTTTAAAATTTGTTCACGTTATCATTTCGGTATAAATAACGTCTCCTGCTTTCATTCGTTAATCAAATAAATATTCTATGCTCTTTTATCAATTAATTGAAAAAAAGGACGAATTCAAGAAGTTACAATTCTCAAGTAAATTGCAAAATTCAAGACAGGAATTTTTTGTTTTTCCTCTGTAAGATATCGTCGTTGAAGTCGTCTGCTGAATTATGTTTCCAGCAAAATGTATTGCAATTTATTAGACATAACGTATATCCGAAACGTGAAAACGTCGGTATTGTAATTTCCAAAATTTTACTTTTCACTAATCCGTTATAAAAGAACTTTCACGTATTTGCATATCTGTCGCGTGATATTTCCTTTACCATGCGAATATTCTACACGGGCATATCCACATTAATCTCACGTTTCACGCTTTTATCTCTGCGTCGCTCAAACGCGGTTTTCTCGCGTCATTATATCGCGAAAAATGTGTGACGAAACACGACGCCTCCTTCCCTCTTTGTCGCAAATCTCGCGAGGCAGATTTGCCATTGCTCGAGCACAGCATTTTCAGTTTTGTAAACGAATGGCATGCTACAAATTTTCGAAACAACGTGAAACTCTGAAAAGAAAGGCCTTTTTCGAGGGCTGCACGGTCGCAATGGAAGGCGCGGGCGAGTCACTTATTTTAAATAATGCCTTCAAATGGGACGAGATATGGGACGCTTGTGCATCGTAAATAAGCGGAAGCAAAGTAACGTGATAAGGCTGACTTAAAA